ATATGTACCAACCGACGCCAACTTCGAAATGAGGATTTTCATTTCACTCGATCAAATCACTGTTTGGCCTCCCTTAATCCATTTCCAACCGCGTCCCAGACGCGCAAACAACACACGACGCGGGAGACGATGGGCTGGCATGCGCAACAGATGGCCCAGCCATCGGAGACTGGCGCGTGATAGAATGGTACTGAGTGGTTCACTCGCACTCCTTGCGCCAAATACGTGACGCTGAACACATTGCCCATGCGGTGCTCCCAGAAGACAAGAGACAAGCTGCGAAGGTAGTGATAGTGGAACGTAGTTAGCCTCTTTGGGGACTGTCGACCTGATGGGCAAACGCCCAACGTCCCAACATTGGCGTCGACTTTCTTACGATGTAGGGTCTGATGGTAGATCTACGCTGCAGAAAACTCCGTTACAGTGTCATATCTCTCAACATCCCTGGTAAAATCGCCTCGATAAGCTCAATCGGTCTCCAGATGTCACTTGCTACCAATAGCGTATTCAGTGAATTACTTCAGCAATTGCCTGCTTTATATCAGTCATTAGACGAATTTGCGGATCCAAAGTACAAAACCTGACCTGTTGCTGTTGGACCTTAACGGTTGCCGCCCGACAAACTCGCGACAGCTGAGGCTAACTTCCAGCATATGCTGTTTCGACATCACCCGACCGTCCAGTAGCTCGTGGTCTTCTCCGTTGCACATGGTCCCTAAGAAGTCAAGCGAGGACTGGTGACCATGTGAAGATTACCGTGCTTTGAACAGTGCTCTTGTTCCAGACAAACATCCCAGCCCTCACATTCATGACTTTTTCATCCGTCTGCACGACAAATCTATTTTCTCGAAGATCGAGCTTATCCGGGCGTACTACCAGATTTCTGTGGCCCCCGAAGATATTCCCAAAGCCGCCATAACCAGCCCTTTTGGTCTTTACGAATTCCTCCACAAACCATTTGGTCTGTGAAACGCTACGCAGACTTTCCAGCGGTTCATCGACCAAGTCCTTAGAGGGCTTGATTTCGTTTTCGTTTAAATCGATGACATCTTTGTGGCTAGTTCGAATCGCGAAGAACACCTGTCTCACCTTCGTTTGATCTTGAAGCGTTTTACCGAGCACGGTCAAAATGAATGTTGACAAATGCCTCTTTGGTCAGTTGCGTATTGATTTCCCTGGCCATCGAATACACTGTGACGGCATTAGACCGCTTCGTGAAAAAAACGCAAGCCATTGCTGACGACCACATGCCAAAATCCTTTAAAAGTCTACGCCGATTTCTTGGAATGGTTAATTATTATGATAGAAGCACAATGCAATACTGCGGAGGCAAGACGAAAGGAAGATGAACATCAATCTACGTCTTTCACTTGCAACGGCTAACCACGCAGTTTCATCCGAAGACATCTAAACCGAAGGAATACAATTATCACACCTGCACCAACAACGGGGAAATGTATCGCCTTGTTGTACATCAAAAACGTATCGGAAAAGACAGTCAGACTCCTCAAGCAGCACAACCTGATGGTAGCTCACATACCAACTGCGACTTTGAAGGGAATCTTGTCTAGAGCTAAAGGAAAACTGGAGGCACAAGAACGCCGAAATGACATCTACAGGATACAGTGCGAGATCCGTGAGAAAGACTATGTGGGTCAAACGGGGCGAAAACTATCCACAGAAATACAAGAGCACAAAGGTGCACGTCGATACCATTATGTATCACCACAGATCTCAGCGCACCTTGATGAGGAAAGACACAACGTTAGTCGACGTTATCGATCTAGACTCTTTGGTGTGTCGTGATTCAACTAGTCCCAACTCTATGTCCTCAGTAGCTATTTGTGCTCTGCCCTCCCATTTTATAATTGTAAATTCTTGAGATTTGCCGAAAAGAGTACTCTTCGCAAACCTGTTTTCTAACGCGGAAATTCTGCCGCACGGAGGGACAAGAAAACAAAGAGAATTCCTCGAGGCATGGTTCTCTAAGGATCATTCAGTGAACCTCCGCATTGACCTCGATCCTGTGTACCTACAGCTGAGAAAGGATGAAACTGGGCGGGCAAAAATCGAACGAACAGATGTCACGGGACACGGATCGAAGAGGCCAATTTCAAAAGCTACGTACCGACGATACTTTACGTGAGATGTTTACGCAGCAGTGCACTGAAGATGCCACTGAGCGTAGTGGTGAAAGGTTTGATATTAAATTACTCAGTTCGGAGAACCAATCAAAATAATGTTAAATATTATGTGTAACTGCGACAAATCTACACAAAACCTAATAAGTCCCCCTACAACTTACAAATGTCCCTTTTATCCCGGAGTGCTCTAGACTTCTCCAGCCTTTGAGTCTTGCTTAAAGGCAAGTGCAGTAAGTTCGAGCCGATGACTGAAGCAACAACAGCCTTCGACAAGATCAAGAGAGCTCCATTCAGTCACCGCGCTTAGCCATCGGAATACCGACGTGGGAAATTCCATGGTTCTCAAAACCGACGCGTCGCAGACTGTTGTCGGGGCTGTACTACAGTAAGTAATAAACAGTCAGCCCGAGCCCTTATCCTTATTTGCTCGTAAACTGCAACACGCCCAAACGAAGTATAGCACTTTCGGCCGCGAACTTTTAGCTATTTATCTCGCCGTCAAACATTCCCGACATCTTCTCGAAGACCGCCCATTTACTGTTATTACTGATCATAAACCGCTCGCTTTTGCTTTTCGCGGATCACCCGACAGTTTTTCGCCGCGCGAAACATCCTCTTGATTACACCTCAAAGTTCACTACTGATATTCGACATGCCGATGCAGCCAGTAAAGTTGTCGCCGACGCGACGACGTCAGCCAACTAACCTTGAAGACATCGCCGCTCATCAACATTAAGATCCAGAGTTCCAGCAGCCCAGATTGAATTCGTCCATCAAATTGCCTCTCCTGCCTCTTCTCAACTCGGACTCCAAAATTTACCGTGATATGTCCACTGACAAACCTTAACCTTTCGTCCTGCAGCAATGCCGACGAGTCGTAGTTGATCACTTGCACGGTATTTCAGACCCGAGCATACGTGCCACTACGAAGCTGATAACTGATCGTTACATCTGGCAGAACATGAGCTCGAATATCTGACAGTGGGCAGAATATTGCATCGCCTGTCAGAATAGCAAAATCAAGTGACACATCATTACCGTCCCGGCACTTTCTCGTTGCCCGATGCCCAGTTCAAACACGGCCATCACGACATTGTTGGGCCTCTTCCTCCATCCAACGGCTATATCTATGTGCTAACATGTGTTGGTCGATACACGCGTTGACCTCACGCAGTGCCACAACGGGATGTTTCAGTCGAACTAGTCGCCAGAATGTTCGCCGAAACGTGGATAGTCGTGTTTGGCACGCCTGCCACTGTCAACACGGATAGAGGTCCTCAGTTCAGTCATCTTTTGTTACGTGATCCCAATCGAATGCTTGGTTGTTCGCATCTACGCACAACGACTTACCGCTTCGCTGTTAACGGGCTAGTCGAGCACTTCCACCGACAGCTAAAAACTGCATTTACTGCAACACAGTCGAACGCTCAGTGATCAGAAAGTCTACCCATCATCCTCCTCAGTATTCGTAACACTGTAAAAGAAGATTTCGGTTGCTGTCCAGCTGAATTAGTCTTCGGCACAATACTTAAACTTTCCGGTGAAATTGCGCTGGATTCAAGAGTCACTGGAGAAGTAGACCTTGATTCGTATGTTGCACACTTGAAGCAAAACTTCACTGCTGTTCATCCAATGCCGCCTCAACCTGACTCTCGAAATCAATGGATCGACCCCGATTTGCGCGGCTGTCCCTTTGTCTTCGTGTGCGCCAACACCGTCCGTAAACCACTGACTACGCCTTACGAATGTCCCTTCAAAGTCCTGGCTCGTAAGGTGAAATACTTCGTGTTGGACAAGAATGGTTGTAAAGAATCCGATAGCATTAACCGCCTAAAGCATGCTTATGTCGAACTGCAATCACCACAACAATCAACTGAAGTTTGCGTTCCTGAACAAACTCTATTGCAAAGCATTCATCCACTCAGTCGATGTGCGACCCCAGTGTTTCCTCCTTGCCCCCATCCACACTTGTGGCAAATCCCGATATACCTAAGCGTACAGGCTCCGGACGTACAGTCGCTGTTCGCTCTCGACTTGTGACAGATGAAAGCTAGCGCCCATCGAGCGTTCTTCCCTTCGACTCACGCTCCAGAGGAGTACTGCAGCGTTTGTACATCTTTTTTTACAACTGTACTTTATTATTTTTATTCGATTCGTTATCGTATAGTTTGTTTCAATTAACTTGAGCAATACATTCTTCTTCGAATCGTGTTCTGCTTGTCGCTCCGATTTGCTGCGTGGGTTTTGGTGTGCTTGCTCAGAGCGATGATCTTTGATTAACCGACTAGGAACTATCGTACTGCTTATGTTACGCTACGCTACACACCGGAACTTACCATTAGACTGAAAAGGCATTCGAAGTTGGGCGCTTACCGTAAGTCAGTGTCTTTTTTCGTTAAAATCGACTGAGTTTTGACTCAACTATTTTTGTAGTGATAATTCGTTCGCTAAAAGTGCATCCTGTGGGTCAGACCAGTCTCAAGTTACAAAAGTTGGACGGAGGCAGAGCGACAGGGAAGCGTGGCTTCACAGGTACGTTAAGGTAGAACTTCGGTAGCATTTCAGACTCAAGTTTGGAAACTTCGTGTCATATCGCTATCTAATGCAGTATGCACGCACAGCGATCGTGTTAGTAGTCAGAGTTCCCTACTGTCAACTGAACTAGCTCTACTGTCTGATGGTTGCTGACAAACACTTGTGAGATGGTGTCTCGTTCATTTGGCAGCAATCTATTACGAATTTGTTATATTTTTCGAATACAGTACGATACTAACACACGTACGGAGATTACGGAATCGGTGTTAAGATGCCGGGGTAATAAGCCAAGGGGGAAAATCTACATAAAGAACCACTAACCTGTAACTGTTGATTTAAGAACTTGGTTATAACCTATGATTTCAACTGGCTCCTGTAGACTTATGGTGCCTCTTTCAATGCGTCCTGTAACCACAGTACCACGACCGGTGATTGAATGAACATGCTCAATTGGTAGAAGAAATGGCTTATCCTTTTCGCGTTTCGGTAACGGTACTGAATCGATGGTTTGAAGTAGCTGGATTATCCTCTCTCTGCCAAGCTGTGGTTCACGACCCTGAAATGGTACATTACCGTTAAAAAAGGGAACAGCATTAACAAATGTTACCTCTAATGCACACAAGGCGGATCCAGTCACAATGGGGGTATTGTCCCCATCAAAGCCATACTGTTTCAGTGTATCCCGTATCTCCAACTCCACAAGTTCCAGCATCTCTGAGTCAGCTGCGTCCGCCTTATTGATAAACACAACCATCTGTTCTATACCAATCTGTTTGGCCAGCAGCAAATGTTCCCTAGTCTGAGGCATGGTGCCGTCTGTGGCAGCTACCACGAGAATCGCACACTCTATTTGATTGGCACCGGTGATCATGTTTTTTATATAATCGGAATGACCTGGACAATCGGTATGCCCATAATGCCGATTATCCGTGGTGTAGTCCACAACGGTAGCGTTGATGGTAATCCCACGTTTCTTTTCATCAGGTGAAGCATCAATCTCTTCATAACTGCGATAAATGGTGTTCTTATTTTCTGATAAAACTGTATAGAAAATAGAGAGCTTTATAAAACAAACTGACTCTTGGTAATTGCGGCGGTCAGTGTGGTTTTCCCGTGATCTACATGACCTATTGTGCCAATGTTCATGTGAGGTTTATCACGAACATAGACTTTCTTTGCGCCGGGAGCAGGGTTTGGAACAGCATAATGGCGGGAGGGCTGAAGACCGTGCTTGGCAAAACGGGGCGTTACTCACCTGTAGGGTAGCCGTAGAGAAGATAGTCGAGGCAGGCTTGAACGAGTGTAACGCTAGAACAAAAGAGTTGTAGAAATACAGTCAATTCATTTGAAACGAATGAAGGAAAACGTAAACATTTATGCATGGTTGCAACAGTCAACTGAATAGGGATAAGGCTGCTCAAAGAAATGGAACTCAGCGAGGACGATGGATGAAACCGTCAAACGCAAAAACGGAATAAAGTTTAGGTTTTAAATTCTGTACACCATTTTGTTCGTTATCGTTGTCTTCAAATATTCGGGAAATAAAAAACCTGGGCTTAAGCAACAATGCACACAAGTCATCCACCGCTTTACGTTGCGCATCAACTTAAAGCGATTTGAGTCGTCTGCATTTCTAGTGCTCGGGCCCCCAACAAGGTAGAAGTGTGGATCGAAAGGTGACCAGATGTGAAGTCAATTTCATTTGCCATCGTCAAGTGGACAGATGACAAAAAAGGTGGTCCTCAATAAATTAGCACTGCGCCGGTGCGCAACACTGCAGGTACGCTGCCACGCTATCCCATCGCAAGGAAACCGAACTTTAACGCGATGTGATGGTTTGCATACCTCCGTGAACCATTGAGCTATGCTGGGTGGCACTTTCCAAGTGTCTACAGAGCCATACATACCAGACAGGCCAATGGTTAGGGGTCAGACTAACTCAGGCTCACAATCATCTCAGAGATCAGGGACAGGTCGATGGCTCTCTTCCTTTAAAACAGCCATGGGAAACAACAGGTCTATGGGTTATAAGCTCACAGCTCGATTGGCGTAGAGTACGAGTGGGATGCTTTGACACTGACGGTGGGTGGGCACCTTCGGGGGTTCAATGGTTTGCTACCGTCCGCCTCAAGACAGGTAGTCCAGGGTCAAACGCTGAAAACTCGCCAACTCCCAACTGCGGCTAGCAGTGGCCGCACGTACGTAACGCGATACCATCGCAAAACACATGTGAATTGTTCCAGATCATCTAAAGCCATGTGTGACAAGCCGCGAGCGGATGTCGACCGGCCTCTGTAATCACACTCCCGAGCCAGACTTGCTCCCCATCGCCTTGTGGGTTACACTATTGAGCCAAAGGCTCCGAGCGGAGTGACGCAACAGAACCTCCATGTACCCCACTGCCTTGTGGATCAGGATGTTGAGTCAAAGGCTAGAGGCAGGACACCTCGAACAAAACCCCAATCGAAATGGGCAGCCGGAGAGTATCATCTGCCTTCGCGACACTACGCCCTCTTCTACTTCTTCCTCCCCGTCTACTGAGCAAGAATTTGCGCTAACCTCGCGGCTGCTACCATCGATACTCGTAACCGGCCCATCAAATCACAAATCTCATTTCACACTTGTTCTCTTAACGTCCGCACTTTGGGTCAGATCGGCCAGCAGACAACACTAACTCCCACTCCGCATTCTCTTGGTATCGATGTGTGCTGTGTCTCCGAAACACACATACAAGATAACAGCGTTGTGACGAATCTTCGCCTGACGCCCTGGTTCTGAATCTGACGACCATGACTACACTCTTCGCGTCTCTGGTGATACCGAGTCAATAGCTCAAGGTATTCAAGGGTGTTGGTGTCGTACTCAGCAGATATGCTGAAGGTAATACACTCGACTGAAAACCGGTGAACAGTCTCATGTGTGCGGTACGACTTCGAACTAATATTTGAGTTAATAAGCACCGTATGAAAACAAGGTGCTATTCCATCGCAACAGTTTATGCCCGTACTGTATCAAAGATGATTTCTGCTACCAACTTTCATCTCTTCTCCGCATGATTAAGAATACTGACATCGTGATTATTCCTGGTGAGTTGAATGCCCAAGTGAGCCGTCTTTCGTATGCTGAAGAACATCTGGAAGGGTGCTTCGGAGTCGATGCACGCCGAGCAAACCATGATGATCGATTCCTGCAACCGTGTGCCGATCACAAGTTTTATCACAACAGGACTGTTTTCCAGCACAAAAGTTCAAACCGCCCCCTGGCGTCCACCGAATTCCTCCATGACCTGGACCAAAAATGACCATAATGCTATCAGCTACAGGTCAATCAATCAATCAACAACAGAAGGACATCAGCCACTTGGACTGATGTGTTGCTGCCATACAACGATGACGACTATGGAATAAAGAATAATAAGAGGAAGAGTGACTTACCGGAATACCATAAGGTAACTCTCAGTTTCAAGGCGTCTACACTTTGGGTTAAAAACATACCGTCACAAACAGCTGGCTATAGTGCAAAATTAAAGCAGCATCAGTGAGATGGCTCCCTTGCGGCTTTTACTGCCACGTGTCATAATCAGTCATTACCCCGCAGATAACAGTCCCAAGCACACTTTAAACAGGCAGTCTGACTAGGAGACGGCAGCAGAGGCGCCACTGGTGTTGACTGCGAACCAAGTCCTGTAGTCTCAAAGTCAAGAACAACGCGGGACACGTGGAGTCAGTCAGGAAGGCGACTCGGACCAACAGCCCAAAGTTTGGTCGTCAGTGAATCCACTTCACGCTGTCAAGTCCCTCATAGGTAAGCGGTGACCAGGAATTCGTAATAAGTGCCCAAGTTAACGCAACTTATCCAGTGCTATCTGCTGTTCTAAGGAACTAGCTTACTTATAACTGTCCAGTACTCGCCTACGCACATCATCTTTGCGGACACGCTGGTGTCACCAGCCGACTGATCGCGAGATGATCGATTTGCATCCATGCCTGGTCCGAGGCTGGTGGCGCCAAGTCACTCCTACAGGCGTTATGTCGAATATCTGTGCTCGCGAGAAAGAGACGAGCACCTTCACACAGCTGTAGCAATCGCACACGGCTATCATTACAGGAGCCTACACTATGTTGGCCGCCCGGATGAAGCTCATCAGAGGACAATTTTCCGAGTTGCACGTTTAGATCACCAGCCAACAGCACAGGATCCGTGCATATTCCGTAACGAGGGAGATGGTGAAGTTGCTGATAGAAATCATCTTTCACTTGCTCATTAGTTCGTTGAGCCTGGAAATTTGTTTGCAGACGTTTCACCACCATGCGAGGTGGCATCATCAGTGCGCTGAAATATAGAGTGTAATCTCACTGATTCAATTGTCAAGCCGCGATCGGCGTGTTGGTGACTTTTTGAGAGTGACGGCTTCGATCTGCGCCCCATGATCACTACCCATTTTCCCCACGCCGGAAGTCGTCGCTCAAATTGTTCCTATTCAAGCGGCGCCTTGTAATTTCTCTGAATGCTTTCCTTCGGAGGGGCTGGTAAATTGAGTCGAGGTCGATATGCATGTGGATTGAGTCCATTGTTGAGAACCAGGCTTCCAGGAACTACCTTTCTCTTCTTGTTTCGCCTCGTGCCATGACTTCTGTTTTGGCCCAAACGAATTTCTGCTCTTTTTCGTCCATGGGCGCTGAGAGCAACGATGATACATAGTGTCTTTTGCACGCTCTTTTGTGCTCCTGTATTCGTGTTGCTAATTTGATACCTGTGTGTCCAATATCGTCAATTTCGTATTCTATATAAAAAATAAGTTGCCCATAAGCTTCCAGTTTTGCTTTCGGTTTGGACAGTTTACCTCAACGCCGCTTGAAAAGGAACAACTTCAGCGACGAATTCCGACGTTGGGAAAATGGGTGCATATCATGAGGCGCAAATCGAAGGCGTCGCTTTTAAAAAGTCTACAGCACGTCGATCACGGCTTGACAATTGAATCAGTGAGATTACACACTATATTTCAGCGCATTGATGATGCCACATCACATGGTGGTGAAAAGTCTGCAAACAAATTTCCAAGCTCGGCGAAGGAATAAGCAACTGAATCACCAACCCAAACTACCAGATTTCCGGAGTACTTCAAATCAAGTTTCACAGAATCAGGGCTGCACTCTGGGAGGGGGCGCAGGGTTCAATGAAAAACAGGAACCGTTCGTCCTCAAGCGCGACTTCGAAGCCTGGAATGAAGCAATCAAACTAACGGCGCACATCCGACTGTTGACTGGGATCCAATCGATCAGGGCAGATTCTGCCCGGGGACTCAAACCAATGCCGACGCCAGATTGACCGGCATTTGAAGCTGCATCATCGCCAGACAGGCGCAATGAGAATGTGCCGCCAGTGTCGCACGTGCGGGATCGCATGGTAAGCACGGAGCTCGAACCTTGCGGGCAGGTTTCTGATAAACAGCAAATATCATTTGTTCGCCGAGCTGCGAAATTGGTTTGCAAACGTTTCACCGCCATGCGAGACGGCATCATCAGTGCGTCGCGATATGGAGTGTAATCTCGCTGATTGAACTGTCGACCCGTGATCGGCTGCAGGTGACATTTCGAAAGTGACGGCGTCGATCTGTGTCCCGTGATCTCTACCCATTTCCCCGTGGCAGAGGTCGTCGCTTGGGTTGTTCCTATTTAAGCGGCGTCTCATAATTTCTCTAAGTTCTATCCGTCGGAGGGGTTGATAAACTGGGTCAATCTCGATATGCATGTTGATCGAGTCTTTTGTTGAGAACCACGCTTCCAGGAATTCCCTTGCTCTCTTTGTTTCACCTCGTGTCAGGACTTCTGTTTTGGCCCAATCAATGCTGTGTTCTTTTTCATCCACGTGTGCTGAGAGTAGCGAAGATGCATAGTGTCTTTTGCATGCTCTTTTGTGCTCTTGTAATCGTGTTGTTAATTTTCTGCCTGTTTGGCCAACATAGTCCTTTTCGCAATTTCTACAAACTAGTCTATATACAACATTGCTTTGCTCATGAGCTTTCGGTTTCGACAGAGTTTTTCTCCGTGTAGCAGTTGGTTTGTGTGCAAACAAGAAAAGCAGGCAATAAAATCCTTGAAGTCTGACGAAACGATCATCATCCTGCCGGCAGACAAGGGACGGATGACTGTTATAATGGATAAAGAGGATTACACTGAGAAAGCTTTACGTCTCTTGAACGATACAACGACCTACAAGTGCATTGACACCGATCCAACCTCACAGCTGGCAAACAAATTAAACAGAACGCTGAAACAACTTCAAGAAAAGAATCAAATCACGAAGGA